AAAAATTTCGGTGAAAACTAGACCACTGTGGGTATATTCCGAACGATGATAGCTTACTTTTTTTCTAGATGTTGGCTGTCGTGTAACTAAACCGAGAAGTGTTTCGAAACCATCATAACCTGCAAAGATGTTGAAGATGTTTCAATTGGAAATTCAAGACCGTAGTAATTCAGAATATTTCTGTTTCTGCTTAATCCAAAACTTTTCTGCGTATAAAAATTCTGAAAATATGACAAAAATTTTGTTACTACAATAATATTATATTATTATAATACTTATCATTATAAGCTAAATCATAAATATCTTTTGTTACTATCAAATTTTATATATTTTATATATTTTATTATTATCGATCTTGAATTTCCAAATAAAACATTTTCGACATCTTTGCAGGTGATGGTTCGAAATATCTGTCGGTTTAGTTATATAGCAGCCAACATCTAGAAAAAAAAAAAAGATAAGTCAAACTAGTCACCGTTCCGGAATATATCCCGTGTCATCTGTGTACCTTGTTGGAAAACAGCCCCAGTGTAGTGCAGTAGAATCGAATTCGCTATATTAGATATTAGTTAGGTGAGATCAACGACCGCGAGATGGTGCGTACGGCATCGTGCGCGCGCTAACTTCTGCCGGGCCACGTGACCCCCTGAGATACCACAGCGATTGGTCGATCGTGAGTCATTTAAACCGGCGAGCCGTTGCACGTCCTCGACGACAACGAGACACGGCGGTTTGAATAGAAGCACGGCGAGCAGTGAGTCCCGCGGGTGTTCTGCGGTACGGGGTAAAGTGGCGCGCTCTCACACGTATACAAGCCGCTTGTCTTTCCTTTTTTCCCGTCGCATCCTCATCTCTGGAGTTCTCTTTCTCTCGTATGGGAAAACGATCGGTGATAGAGCGTCAATAGAGAGCATCCGCGTCACCGAGTTAACGCGAAAAAATATATATATATATACCCTCTTGTCGGCCGACGTGAGGCTTGGAGATCGCGCGGCCAGGATACGACGGCGACGGCGACGGCGACGGCGACGGCAGGACGGGACGTCCGGCAACGGCAACGACAACGACGCGCGGCATTCCAGCGACAGCGACACCGTGTCCATCTGCAGCACCGCATCGGGGCGACGCGATACAACGTCGGACTAGTCGGCTTGTCACTGCCATTGCCGGTGCACGATGTCGAATGAGGAGGAGACCGCTATACCGAGCGTGATATACGATGCGAACACCGGCAAGAGTTATATGAAGGGCCGATTTTTCGGGAAGGTAAAGACCATGTGCCCTTGAGTCTCTCGCCTATGCGACCTTGCGCAGTCATGCTCATATATTTCTCACACTTTTATACATTTTGTATATATATATATAAATATAATATAGATGTGGATGTGTGTGCGCGCGTGCACGCGCCACACACACATACACACACACCATATATAGCGATTCTTCGCACCCGGTAGACACTTGTTGCACTTTTGTGCTGAAGACTTGAATCGGAAGATATGACATGATTCGTAATAGAAGAGGAACTTAGATACGGAAGGACGGTTTTTTTGTCTTCTTCAGAGATACTAGAAATGCCTGAAAAAGCATCTATGCTAAGTTTGATTTCCAGTTTGAAAGTTTTGATAAAGGAAATTGAGTTTTTTTTTTTTTTTAAATCCTTTTAGCTATTGTATGTTCTTTATATTCTACATATATGTTTTGCATTTTTTTGTGATATCTGTATTGTTAATGTTGTAATTGAATGATTTGACTGCTATCATCTATTCCATTATTTAATCTCGATATTTTATTGTGTTATTCTTGCATATGTATATTTATGGAAAATTATGTTTCATAATCTATTAATGTTAAATAATATATACTAATCTATATGTAACAAATTATAAATGTACATATGTAGAGTGTACATTTTCATACTAAAAATCCTGAACAGTAATGTTTAATTATTTCTCTTTTCTAAAGTAATATCTTTTTTTGTTAATATAATTCATGAATTTTCTAATTTTTTTATCAATTACTTTCTGATATAATAAAATCTGGAAATCTTTAAATCCTATTTTAGGTATCAGAAAAAAATATTTAAAAAAATAGAAATGAAAAATGATCACTTGGTATTTCTAATGTTAATAAAATTAGTTGTATATTTTTTAAACATGACATTATACAAAAATGTTTCAGATAAAAATTTTATCTCCATTTCTCAATATAAATTATTTTTAATGTCGTTTTAATTTATGTCTTATCTTTCAATTCTAAGAATTAGAAAAAAATAAGATTAAATTCAATGATAAAAATGACAAGAAAGTGATAAAAATGGTAGAAATTACAATTTTAAGAAGTACACTTGGCACTAATTTATTAGTCATTTGAAGGTTTCATAAAGATAATTATCATTTTTTAAAATAAAATTACATGATATTTCTATATCTTTCTAATATTTTTTTATGATTTCGTTGCATATAAAAATATTAAAGTAAAAATTTTTAAAACAAATAGTTTATAAGATATTTATAAGATATTTTATGTTTTATTCCGGTACTTTTTGATTTCTCAAACTATTTCTTTTTTTAATTTAAATATTTGTACTTTGATATTTTCCCGGAATAATAAGAAAAATTAATTTGAGTAAATAAAATACTTAATGATTTCTTAAAAAGAACATGTAATTACATGTTATAAATTACATAATTTAAAAAAAATACATATAATTTAAAATTTATATATTATATATAAAATTTTATATATATTGCAAATTGCAATATTATTTTTGTTAATTTTATATTTTTGTTAATTTTAATTTGTTTAGAATAATTGAATTGTTTAGATGCTAGACTTCTCTTAGAAACTCTCTTAAAACTTAGTAGAATTCCATTTATAATTTTACATGCTATATAAAAAGCGATACAGTTAAAGGATCAAGATACATCTATAAAAATATATTAAAATGTATAATTAAAATATAAAATTATAAATATAAATATAGGAATATAAATGATTATTTAAAATTATAATTTTTTATTCTGAAACTTTGAATTATAAATTCTTTAAAATAAGCATTTTCAATCATTTACAATTAAACAAATGAAATAAAGTCACTTTATATTTATTAAATTATCTTTATTGATTTTAGGGTGGTTTTGCAAAATGTTACGAGATCACAGAATCGAAATCACATCATGTCTTTGCTGGGAAAATCGTACCAAAATCGCTGATGGCAAAAAGCAATCAGCGAGAGAAAATGACACAAGAGATTGCGATTCATCAGACCCTAAATCATAGACATATCGTTGGCTTTCATGGTTTCTTTGATGATAGCAATAACATCTATATCATCTTGGAATTATGCCGTAAGAGGGTAGATATTTGCAATATAATATTTATTTTGTGAATATTGATTACCATAATCTTACAATTGTTTAACATTCCAGTCAATGATGGAGTTACATAAACGCAGGAAAGCGCTATCGGAATGTGAGACTCGATACTTTATGAAACAGATCCTAGATGGGGTATTTACCTTCATCAACACAGAATAATTCACAGGGATTTAAAGTTAGGCAATCTGTTTTTAAACGACGAGTTGCAAGTCAAAATTGGTGATTTCGGATTAGCTACCAGATTAGAGCACGATGGCGAACGAAAAAAGTAATTATTATTACACTACAATAATAGCAAATATGATAATTTCCTCTATAAATAATTTATTCAATATATAAAATTAATACCAAATCAGGAATTATATTATATATTTATTTTTAGATCTTGTAAATATATTATTTTTAAAACTTAATTCAAAGTTAAGTTGATATTAATAAATTATATTTTAATACACATAATTTTTTTAAGACTTTTAATCTCAGAAATTTGTCAGAAATAATTTAGAATAAACTAGTTTATTAATTAGATATACAAGTTTAGTACGATAATTTAGTATGATGATTTGATTGATATATTTTTCAACAGGACTGTCTGTGGTACTCCGAATTACATCGCGCCAGAAGTACTCACGAAGGTCGGACACTCTTATGAGGCCGATGTATGGTCTATTGGTTGCATAATGTATACTTTACTTGTGGGCAAGCCACCTTTTGAAACATCGAGCCTGAAAGAAACATATTCCAGGATCAAACAAGTGCAGTATAAAACACCGCAGTATATCAGTAAACCCGCTATGAATATGGTGGCGAATATGTTACAACTGAACCCTTCAAAACGTCCGTCTGTGGCCAAATTGATGAAAGATATCTTCTTCACTTCTGGTAAGATAAATTAACATCTCGAAAAAGGTGGAATTGTTTAACAGTTAATTTTGTTCTTGTAAAATAATTGTATTGATTATATAATAGAGGAGTTTGTAATAATATGATGATATAAATTGATTGATTGATATTGATTTACAACAATTTTGATTTTCTTTGCTTTAAATTGTTAAATTAGATTAAATTAGATACATTTAAATTAATTTTTTGCCAAATGATTTTTATTTTTTTTTCATAATATAAATAATTGCAAATTTTATTTATTAATGAAAAAGAAATAAAATGTTTTTATTATTTCACAACTGCAGGATACATGCCAACAAGTTTGCCGCTCTCATGTCTAACAATGGCACCGCGTTTAGACATGCTGGAATCACACTGCAATCGCAAACCGCTTGGTGAGATGAATCTTAACGGTTACTCAGAGCAAGAAATTCTCGCTTGCCGAGTGCCGAACAGTCCATCCCGAAAAACTAAGTCCAATAATGAAATTATTGAGCCGCAAAGAGTCAGCCATGATATCAGGAAGATGCTTCATACATTAAAAGATCAGTTGGCTGCTGTGCTGAAAGCTAAACCTGCGAGGGAAATAGCTTCCTCAGCAGGTACGTTGGACAAATTATTTTTTAATTGTTTAAAGAACACATTTTAAAATAATTGAAAAATTAATTTTATCTTTTTAATAAAGATTATATATACATATATATATATATATATATATATATATATATATATATATTGATT